CGGCCATGCCAATTGCAACCCCGGAGGTTGTTGTTTGTGCGGGGGGCCGTCAGTATTTTTGGTACAGTCGAAAAGATTCACTTTGACTTCGCTGTGTACAGGTCCGTGGTTGTGGTCTCCAGGTATTTGGGAAATTATGTCGTTCACTGTTAAGACTGATATGCAGTCGTTCTGAATGCATCTCCACGAGATCCATTTTCCCCTTTTCTTTTTGTTCACAATAAACATATAACCATTTACATATATATATGTATGTATGAAGAAACCAATTGTGCATTTTCCACAACTGAATATGTGGACATGATGATGAAAACTGTCAATTCCAACATTCTTATAGCTTGCAAGTTTGTGTAAGAACTTGAATAACTCACTACTAATGAACTGAGTGAACTAAACTCACTCACTAAACCCGCTGCTTCACATGTCAAGCCACTGGTACAAAAGTCATATTTCGTTTCCTGAGTGGAGACATTTTACATTTTGTAGAAAACCAGTGTACTGATCCCTTAAAACAACACCGTTTTCACAACATCAAACATCAATTAAATTTGACAGAAGTTTTTACTTCAGGTGTTCTGGCACTAACCCCTCGATTGGTTTACTTAAATAAGTAGTAATGTTGAACATGAAATCAGTGATTAGAGATCAATAGCAGTACAACTGCATCACAAAAGGTTATTCCCCGATTTTCCAATATAACCATTCCTAAACACGACGTCGGACGACGTCGATTTTGTATTTTTGTCGTAGATCATTCTTGTGTATTTCTGCACGACGTCGTCGTCGACGTAGTCTTTTTAATGCCCACGACGTAGTTCTTTTTGTACGCGCCACGCGATGGCAAGTATAGGAAACCATAGTTTCACCTGTAACCCCAGATGTACTTTGTATCGAGCTAGTAACATCCATTTTATTATCTTTAATCTTTCCACACAAAATGTTACCCGAAACTGGATGAAGATCAAAATAGTAAGGCGAAGCCAATGATTATAGCACACTGAAGTACACACTGGGGCACACATAAAGATCCAGTCAAAGTCAGAACACGTGTATGCCCCAGGGGCTCAGTCTGCTACAACACAGCCCAGCATCTTGCCAAACTACTAGCACAATTGGGATTGGAAGGAAACTCCTACATCAGCAATTCCAGTACCTTTGTCACAGGTTGCATGGTTAGCGTGTCATGCAGTCTTCCAAATGCCCTTCAAGGACTAAACTATCGGGCAAAAGAAAGTTACCATTTTTAATGAAATTGCATAAACACCCAAGCAGAAAACATTCGTCCAAATATAACATGCTCCCAATAAAAACGAAGGTGTCCGAAAACATCGCCTGAATCGTCCTGTAGTCATTGTAGTCAAACTAAACTGTGATACGGACCTCACTGTTTTACTGTATTTTGTCCAAAAATATGCAATGATAATATCTTCAAACTTTACTTCTTTTGTAGTGCAGGCCACAGGCCTACATTTCAGAATTACAGAGCGATACATACATGTGCATATTTAATGAATAAAACAATAAGTTAATTTACAAAATATGCGAAAAGTAAATATGATATTATTGGCATAGGACTTAATCTCTAAGTGAGTGAGTAAGGTTTTACGCAACATTCCAGCAATATCAGGGCGGGGTACACCAGAAATGGGCTTCTCACATTGAGCCCATGTGGGGAATCGAACCCGGGTTTACTGCGTGACGAGCCAACGCTTTAACCACTAGGCTACCCCACTGCCCCCTGAATCTCTAAGATTCATTGAACTGTGTATATAAATAGATAGTTTTTTTACAATATATGGATTGACAATTGACGTGACCATATCAGACTTATGAGTAGTGGGACTGGAATAGAATTTATACCTAAATTATTCTCATCGCGAAATGGCGGCACTATTGTCCATCTTATGTAAACTTTTAACTCACTCACTCAAACGCTTGTGGGGCGAACAACTGAATGAAAATGCAACCATTTTGGGGTTTGAACACACGATCATATGTTCTTGGAAAGGTTTACGGAAGGATGAATGCAAGAAGAAGACAAAAAATAATCATAGTAATAAGTTTATTAAGATGTCGCAACACAACATCAGACAACATATAATGCAAAGTAAAGCCACTCTTTTTCATCGATACCAAAATATCCGTTCATCTATACCTAGACTCACCTACATAACTAACTGTACACTAACATAAGAACTTGCATAAAGTGACAAAGAAAATATCGGCAGCATAAAGTGACAAAGAAAATAACGTCTGCATTAAACGACAAAGAAAATACCGTAAGCATAAAGATGTAAAGAAAACATCGTCAACCTACAGCGAAAAAGGAAACATCGTCTGCATAAAACTATAAACACAATATCGTCGGTAGAAAGGCACAAAGACAATATCGCCTGCATAAACTGTTGCCTCACTTGAGGCTGCACCCCGTACTGTGGTCTCGTGGTAGTCTGTTGGGGACGATGAAGGGTGGAGAGACGTGTAGATGAGGAACTGTACCATCAGTTCAGGCCCTACCTGGTGTCGTGGTCCTCTGTAGAGGAGACTGAAGGGTGTAGAGACGTGTAGATGAGGAACTGTACCGTCAGATTAGACATCTGTGGGGGACGATGAAGGGTTGAGAGACGTGTAGATGAGGAACTGTACCGTCAGATTAGACCTCACCTGGTACTGTGGTCCTCTGTGGGGGACGATGAAGGGTGGAGAGTGGTGTAGATGTGGAACTATTCCGTCAGATTAGACTTCTGAGGGGAACGATGAAAGATGGAGTGACGTGTAGATGAGGAACAGTATCGTCAGTATAGGCTTCACCTGGTACAGTGGTCCTCGATGAAGGACGATGAAGAGTGGAGAGACGTAGATGAGGAACTGTACCGTCAGTTTTAGCTTCACCTGGTGCTGTGGTCCTCAGTTAGGAAGTTGAAGGGTGGGGAGACGTTGAGATGTGGAACTGTTCCCTCAGGAGTCGCTCGTAATCATGTAGGGGTAAGACATCCCCGTCGTTGTTGGAAGCACAAGGTACATCACTGAAGTCACGGGACAATCTCTCTGCCATCACAGTAAGATATTCACTACATCTGTAGTTACAACATTACACTTACATTGCAGATAAAGTTGTTTTGCACAGAAGTGTATGTATTTTGCTTTCATGCAGCGTGGAACAGAAATCATAAATGGATTGGAAATCCTAAAAAAGACAGTGATCATAGATTGCAATCCTTTCTTAACAAATCGTACATTTGTTACATAGATCCAATTGCTACTTTCTCCGTCATTTCCACAGATAATCTATACGGGCTTCGTTTATTCAGTTAGGGTATAATTTTCTGGGGTAAGTTGAGTAAATGGAGTTTAACACAGGAGATTGCCACTGGACACATATATGAGGGTTTGTTAACTGGTTATTACCATACCTAGCTCCAACACTTAAGGTCAAACAATAAACTTATGTACCTTCTGTCCTGGTTGTCTGCAAACAAAGCAAATGTCAAACTTGTAAATTTCTAAACGGAAAGATTCGTCCACGTTTCCATTTACTGAATAACAGTTAGTGACTGAGTCGCTGTTAGCACAGTCCATCAACATCACCAAAACCAGAACACCATAAATAGGGCTTCACACATTGTACTCATATGGAGAATCGAACCTAGGTCTTTGGCGTGAACGCCTTAACCACTTGGCTCCCGACCGCCCAAATTACTGAATCAAAACAGCGTTTACAAAATAAAATGGAAAAAAACGATTTCAGCATATGAAGGTGAACTACAGACATGCCTGTTTGCTGTTTAACGCTGCATTCAGCAATATTCCAGCTATATTACGATTGTCTGAAACAATGAAGACTTGACAAGAAAACCCAGTGATTGATATAATGAGCATCGATTTAAGCAATTGGGATACTGGGGTATACATGCATGACCATAATCAGCCAGCGTTTCTCACCTGTCATGACGAGCTTGGAAATAGGTTGCAGAAGACCAGATCTGACCTGGTTCTTCACTTTGGTGTAAGTTCGTGTTAGTTGTGGTGTGTTGGGGAGAGGAGGAGGGATTGAAACTTACATTGCATTCAACAAGATTCATGTATTCATCGCACCTGTTACGTCCTTGCAGACAAGAATAGTAACTGCTGCCACCACAACTGCCACAGCAGTGAGCATAATGGAGTAGACAGCTACGATCGGGACGATGTCGTCGACGTTGTCATCACCTTCTGATATAACACACAGTTAACACATATGTAATTAGTATGGTAATTCATATGAGATCGCAGAAACGTATTTGAATTAAAGAGATGTTCTGTTAAAATTCCTTGTTCGTTTTAATGCATATATTGGTTTTAAAACATAAGGAGGAAATAGAGGAAGTTCAGGGTTTATTGTGTGTCTATTTTGAATGAAACATCGATCCTTTTTTATAAGCTAACAGAGTCCTGTCTACATCGTATTTGAAACATAAAAGATTCGTCGTTAATATTCCTTATTCCTTTCAGTGCATAGATACTGGGTTTAGGACATTAGGAGGAAATACTATTTGTGTCTACTTTTTCAAAGAAACTACGATTCTTTCCCTGTCTACATCGCATAACCCAACAAAGGAATCAAGCAATGAAGATAAAAGAATCATTCTTGATGTATGACGGGAAGTATAACCGTTACAGCTGTCCAGGCCAGTGGATCTGTTTCCCCAACATGGCATATCACCGAATCTTGGTTATGTACATTAAGGAGTGCCATAAGTATTATAAATATAATATAAACGATTTGGCATAGGAAATGTTTATTTACAGTATATCAACTATTCTATGATTGATATTTTAAATCATATAATCGGTATTTTTCCCTTTCCTTGAAATATTACACCGTAACCTTGACGATTTGACTTATATCCAATGTATATTGGTTTTAGACACGACTACTATTCCAGGCTTCTGGGCTTCAGACTGGAGATAGTTTGAGCTACATTCAATCGACATATCAGTACCATACACTCATAGTTCGAGTTTCACAGCCGTTACACATCATGCTTGTAGTTAACCTTTAGACACCAACCTTCTATTTCCTGGTAGCTCCCGTCGTTTTCGTCTTCCCTGTGATACGAAACCAAGCCGATAAAAATGAGTATTAAACTTGAGTAAAATGAAAGAAAATTATAAAGCTGTGACACACTCTCAATTCACATCGCTCCGAATCGTGCATAGTTTTGCTCTGATAGCTATGTCGGTTTGTTTGTTGTTTGACGCCGCACACAGCAATATTCCAGCCAAATGGCGGCGGTCTGTAGATAATCGGGTCTGGACCAGACAATCCAGTGCTCAACAGCATAAGCATCGATCTACGCAATTGGGATACGATGATATGAGTCAACCAAGTCAGCGAGCCTGACAACCGTATCCCGTTTGTCAACTTTTACGACCATCATGGGTTGCTGAGGATCAATTCTATATCAGATCTTCAGCTATGTATCACTGAGTGGAGATGAAATATTTATTCATCCTACTTGAAGATTGATGAAGATACTCACAGCTGATGAACGTATCCTCTCTCTGAAAGTGACAATGTTCAGCAGTTAATTATGCATACAAACTGCAAGGTTAATCACAGATGCCTGTATTATTGTGCACCGATCACATATCCGTACATGTTTGAATATAGTGCACTGATCTAGCACCGTAGACGCGATATATGGACAGCATCCGAAACAAGTTTCAATAGAAGGTCAGTCAGTGAGTGAGTGAGTTGGGTTTGACGCGACTTATGGCAATGTTACAGCAATATCACGGCAGGGGACACAAGAAATGGGCCTGACACATTGATCCCATATCAGGAATCGAACCCGGGCCTTCGGCTTTAACGCTTTAACCACTGGGCTACCCCAACGCCCAAGGTCACTCGGAGCTAATAGTTATGATAGGCCTTTAGTTTTTCTATGTTGACAGATAAAATTCCAAGACTGTTTTTAGACATGGTACATACCATTGCCCATTTAATAATTCGCTATGACCTGTTTATCTGAACTAATTCATGTGACGTTTAAGGGTCTACGATGACGTACAACACCAACCTTCTATCTCCTGGTAGCCCCCGTCTGTTTCTGCGTCAAGGATGTATCTGACAACGCTGGGGGAAAAGAAATGTAGAAAGAGGTTCAAATCAAGGAATATTTATAAAAACAGTCCGCTTTCCTTAGAGAGTTGCAAATCACAAAATAGCTGTCAAAATGATATGAATGAACCACTGAGAAAATCAGTGAAGACACTAGGTGTTCACGAAAATACAGGTAGTTCACGCCCTTGAAATATTTGCCTGGAAGAGTAATAACTATCCAGCAGCTCATTGACTGTGCGCCATTGATTTAGATTGTGCTCCATATCACACAGCTATTCATTAGTGATATAGCTAGTCAAATTGTGTTGGTGATGAACTGTTTACCCAATAGCCTTGAAGGATTGCAGATACTGTCAACTGTTTACGCAATAGCCTTGAAGGAAAGCAGATACTGCCAACTGTTTACCAAATAGGCTTACCATCTGGATAGCAGATACTGCCAACTGTTTACCCATTTGCCTTACCATCTGGATAGCAGATACTGCAAACTATTTACCCAGTAGCCTTGAAGGATAGCAGATACTGCCAACTGGTTACCCAATTCCCTTCAATGATAGCAGATACTGCCAACTGTTTGCCCAATAACCTTGAAAGATAGCAGATACTGCCAACTGTTTACCCAATAGCCTTGAAAAAGAGCAGATACTACTAAGTTTAAATTTACCCATTTGCTTTACCCACTGGATAGTAGATACTCACCGACTATGAATGTCTTCCCTTCCTGAAAGATATAATTGTGTAGATGCAAAATGTTAGATGAAAAATATATGATAAACGAATTGCTCGTATACTTGCATACTTTTGAAGTAGACATAAATAACTTGAAATTTGTACAACGATATGTGACTGTCAGCTAAGTAACACTGGTGTCCTGAAGTCCTTGTTGGGATGGTAAAACTAGTGGTTAAAGTGTCTCCCGCTGGGATATTGCTAAAAGCGGCGTAAACATCCTCACTCACTCACTGAAAGCTTAAGGCCATCAAATATGTAAATGTGTGCACACTATTGATTCATATCTCAAATGCCGTTCAAGCGTCTTGATGGTTATAAAAGAGAAATTATTCATATTTCTCAAGCTGTTCCAGCATCTTTAGGGTTATAAAAGAAATGATTCATATTTCTCAGGCTGTTCAAATGCATCTTGACGGTTATATAAGAGAAGTGAAATGAGTGCATGTTGGACTGAAACACACACAGAAAAGGACATGTCAAGTAGATACCACCATAGATTTAAGTAATTTACATCTTACAGCTCATGTAAGCTTATGACATAGATATTCAATTTTCACTCTATTCATGGGTGTGAAAGGTTTTCCATATAATCTCAATAATGGTGTCTCTTAAGGGTATAAACTCTTCACACCGAACACCCGGGTTCGATTCCCCACATGGGTACAATGTCTGAAGCCCATTTCGGGTGTCCCCCGTCGTGATATTGCTCATATTCACTCACTATAAACTCTTCCTTAAAGGCTGGTCTCAGATTCAATTTCCCCACATTTACTTCCCTGAATGAATACTAATAGACACCATCAAGGACATCTTTACATTTAAACAAAATCCACCACACGGACGTGAAAAATATGATATAAGGAAGTATAAATAGCACAAAACGATCATTTGAAAATGTATAACATGTCAATATAAAGTGAAATGCTTGCCAGATAACATTTTACTGAGGAACTGGGTGGAAATGGACATCAGATGCTACATACCGAAGTATTATTTAAAGTTATAGTAAAGACATTATATCTAAAAACATATTAGTATTGCTTAACGTTTGTATAGGTGTATATATACTGACCAGCAATAAAAACGCAACTCAGAATTCATGAAAATTGTACTTTTTCAGCATGAGTTTGGATTTGATACTTTAACACAAGTATGATGTGGTGATGATAAGCATTCACCATGCAGGATGGTGTTCCAAATCATTAGGGAGAAACAAGCAAGGATGAAATGCATGACACACGTGCAGAGTGTGGACGTAGGGCTACAAATGCAGGCAGTGTCGTAATGCTGTCATTTCACCGCAACATGCCACGTGTAAGTGAAATGGAGAGACACCAAGCAATAGGCATGCTGAATGCTGGAGTTCGACAAGTTCGTGTAGACCGACATTTTCAGGTGCACCCTTCGACAATAACTCGTCTGCAGCAACGGGTAGTGGCAACTGATCGCCCCCGTTCCGGTACGACCCTGTGTGACGTCACAAAGACAGGACCGGATAATCCAATTTCAGCACCTCCGGAACCGTCTGCAGGCGGCAGTAAGCACAGCTAATGCCGTGATTGGGTCTATGGGGCGCCCTATCAGCGAAAGAACTGTGCGTTGACGACTCCTAGCGGCAGGCTTACATTGCCGTCGACCTTACCGTGGACCATTCCTCACCAACAGACATCGACTGGAACGGCGCCGTTGGGTGACCAATCGAGGTCACCATGGTTAAGCCAATTCTGTTATACGGCTGCGAAATATGGGGTTTTGAAAACTGTAAATCTATAGAATCCGTTCATGTAAACTTTTTACGCAAATTCATTCCCGTTAAGAGAAGCACGCCTTTATAATGCTATCTGGAAAACTTGGAAGGGTACACCTAAATAACTCTATCAAATGTCGCATGGTATTTTTCTGGGATAGACTCCTATCTGGTAAAGAACAAAAGCTGTCAACAATTGTATACCATGTTTTATATAATGAAGCTTGCATAAACAATAGCAACAAAAAATAGATCAAATCCGTGGAAGCCGTTTTGAATGAAACAGGCTATAGCATCTGCTGGGTAAGTCAACCAGCTGTCTTTCTCAATCAAATTAAAACTATTATCTCCTTAGGCTTAGATGATATAGCAACCCAAACATGGCGCGCAGAGATTTCGAGTTCTTCTAAGGGTACCATGTATCGCGTATTCAAATCTGAACTTGTCTTTGACAAATATCTCACATATATCCCTTTCTCCCTGGCTCTTAAATTTCGAGATTCAGTGTGAGCTTTGATTTCTTGAATTGCTTTTCTTTTGCTGGTCAGTATTGGTAGATATCAGTTGTGGGGGTACAACGTATTCTGAAGTTACCATCCAACACCGCCCTCTCCGCCTATCTCACCCAAAGCGTTGTCCCACACTGTCATATATAATTCAGTACATGTGTGGATAAAGAGTCCGCTCGTCACGCCGAAGACCCGGGTTCGATGCCGCACTTGGGTACAATGTGTGAAGCTAATTTCTGGTGTCCCCCGCCGTGATATTGCGGAAATATGGCTAAAAGCGGCGTCAAACCATACTCACTCACGTAAAAGAACGTGTCTATCTTTCTTATGCACTATCATCGTGTGACTGTTCATTTGAAAGCATTGACCTTGCTATTCTATGGAGCCAACTATTTCCGGGTGACGATACACTGAACACACACATCGATTGCATGATGTAAACGTAATGACAGCTTTACGTGACTCTCGGGTTATCGTCATTCACTCTCACATCACACCGTATTACCTCCACGTCTCTGTTTTCTACAAACAACAACGATGACGACAACGGCGATGACCACGATCAGGACGGAACAGACAGCAGCCACGGGGACGATGGAAGCGGCACCAGATTCAGTATATTCACGTGCTGAAACATTTACTGTTGACAATATTCAGTTCCGTATGCATACGAGTATAATCATGTAACATCAAGCCTCTTCGGGAGGTTTTAACCCGATTCAAAACATATCAAATGGGTTGACACTTGCGATGTTCATCTGAAATAACCTTTCCGTGCCAAGCTCTGTAAGTGATTGATAAGGTACGCTGTACATCCCCAACAACAACGTTATTGTCAACATCAGCTCCACAGGAGGACATGCAATGTCGGTAACATCAGTGTTCTCATTTGTGCAGGATGAAGAAACGGAAATATGTAACGAAAAGTGTCAAATTATATTCCTCATATAAATAGACTTTCAGGAGCACTGTATTCTGTAGGGCTAGGTTTCTAATTGATTTTTTCGAATTAACGGGAACATTTGGGAATATTTGAGAATCTGAAAGTTAAGAATCATTGGGGTGATAATGCCATCAGATCATAGTGAAAATCAAATTCTTCATCAATATTACGGCTTCAAATGGTTAATTGTTTTTAATCTTTGAGTGACATCTAAAGGGTCTTTGGTTATTTTAAATCTTTGGGTGCCATTACTTTCGGTGTTCTAGCAGGTGTTCCAGCAGGATCATGCGTACGAATAGGGGGTCGTCCCAACAGGCGTCATCCCCCAAAATAGGTTGTATATAACAGATTCTGTTACTGAAGTGTTGACTTACAGACGACCTCCAGCGTCAGGTGCCGTGATGCACTCCCATGTGTGTTGTTGACGTGACACGTGTACAGTCCAGACACAGATACATCTACAGCTGGTATAGACAACACAGCCTCCCCCTGTCCTGTAATCACCGTCTGTCTGGAAATGTTCCACCAGGTTACAGTACAGGCAGGGTTACAGTCAGCAGAACATCTCACAGCTGCAGGTTTCCCTTCTTCTACCTCCAGCTTGTCACTTGTGCCGTCAAACTGTATCTGGTCAGGTCCATCTGGAATGCATGTGAGATGGTCAGCTGAGAAGCTATTCTGAGATATAAGTGCAGTTTGCTTCGGTGAATGAAGACATGTTCTTTGGTTTGGCCTGTTGTCTTGGGATTCACAAAACTGGTAAACGTCTCAGATTCGTATCAATTTATGCTTTCTTCCCACAATAAGTACATACTACAACTTGAAAACCGTTGTAACTCACTCACCCACTCTGTTGCTATGTACAACTCTTGACAACATATCCAGGTGAGCTTACAATGCCGGGAAACTATCAACATGTTCGATAGCCTCTAAAACTCTAAAACTTTGAATCGATCATTAAATTAGACCTGCCTATATTTCCTATCCGAACTTTCACAATCATCATTTCTGTTCTCTTTACACAGAACACGGTACTTCAGCAAAGAAAGATGTGACAAAACTATCACTCAGAAGCACAGATTCAAAGATAAAATATACGAGGTTCCTATACCGTAAAGAAAGTAAGTTCTTACTCACAGAGAACATCCAGTACATATCCGTGACTCCAGTTAGACTTCAGCCCCTCCTCCACAGTCTGGCAGCTGTAGATGTCTCCCTGGTTCTCTCTGCTGACGTGGGTTATTGTCAGGTCATCTCTACCTGTCGGAGACTCATCACCAGATTCTACCCGGGTCCTGTCCCTCCTCCAGATGTAGGTCATAGTTAGTGGGGGATGGTCCAGGGGTAGACTCCGGGAGGACGAGGAGCATGTCAGGGTGACATTCTCACCTGATACAGGTGAGGCAGGTCCGGTGATGGTGGGTGTGGTTGGCTTCTCTGCTAACAAATATAACAAATGTGCTGAGACCTTAACACGAGTGCCATTGAACAAGATCTTGCTGAATGCTTTCATACTTGTATTTATATACTATTCATCATTATTATCTATCAAATGTTAAATAGTTAAAGCGTTTGCTCGTCACGTCGAAGACCCGGGTTAGATTCCTCTCAATGAGTGAAGCCCATTTCTGGTGTCCTCCGCCGTGATATTGCTGGAATATTGCTAAAATCTCACTCACTCACTCACTCACTTACTCACTCACTCAGTGTTCCATAGTTACAGCAGGGAATACATGTTGGCTGGATCCTAATACTCCTAACCGTTTTGTTGATTAAATATGATAGTTACCACATAACTACTGGCTTCCTCTACTGAAATGAGTTAAATGTACTTTCCGGAGAGGGAAGGGTCGACGGTGTCACTACAAGATGCGTTATTACAAATTGGGTTAAAAGATGCAAGACTGATCGACTCTGCGCCATTGCTTCTTTGTCGGTAAATACAGAAGAATAAGCATAATTCACCATCACACATGCATACAAACCACAGACACATTTCACCTCACCTAAAGTTCTTCTACTGCAATAGAAGTTGAACAGCTATTTATTTATGGTGGAAATAAATTAAGACAGTCCAACTTTATTCTTCAAATAATATTCTGTTAATTCCATATTCTACTCACGTGCTACAACGAGGACCTGTCTACATCCAGTAACTGTCTGTCCATTGGTTCCTTGACAGTAGTAAGTACCAGCGTCCTGTACAGTAACATTGTAGATGGTAAACCTCAGCTGTCCTGTCTGTGATGGTGAGTCCTCCCTGGTGTATCTGATCCTGGTCCTGTAGCCAGTGTGACTGGTGTTGTGTACCCATACACGGTGTGACCTAGGCTGGACCAGTAACAGTCTCTCAGCTACCGAACCATTCACCCATACGTAGTATAGGAAGCTGACATTCGCTGGGTTCATAGTTATGTTAACATCGTCGCCAACACGTGTAACAGTGTGTGGGTATCCAGTTGTCATGCAGGCAAGACCTGCACGCAAAACATATATTCGTCATTAAAACAAGGTTAACAGCTAACAGAATTATTCAAGCACGTTATTGAAGTCAGCTCAATATAATCCTAGTTGACAGATACATACCATACACATATAAGCCCCCAAACAAAGAGACAACATCATGTAAGGGGGGAAAGAACTTTCATGAACAGGCGTTATAGTATTTTCTGTGGGTTGAGTTGTAAATGTAAATGACGATATCGTAAGTGATATCGATGGACCCTAACGATTGTATTCTTAATATCTATATATACTGAGTCAAGAAAGAAACTTCACATTCTTTCATCAGGGCACTATAAAGAACAAGAGATTGTAAGATGGTTAAATTGTTATTATTTCATGGCTGAGATCTGTGTGATGTACTCGATTCCCTGACAGTGCCATAATCAGTTCCATTAGGCTACACCGCTGTTCCAAAACATGGGTATACAGAATGTCAAGTCACAAGAATAAAAATGCGAAATTTCTCAGTTCAATATCGTGTATGGCCACCCCGCGCATTCACCACTGCCAAACACCGTCTCCTCATCGACTGCCTGATGCTTGTGAACACGTGGTTGGGGATTCTGCGCCATTGCTCTTGCAAAGCAGCGCCAAGTTCCTGCAAATTCTGAGGTTGGTTCCTAAGACCACGAAGCCTTCTCCCAAGTGCATCCCAAACGTGCTCTATTGGATTAAGGTCAGGGGACCTCGATGGCCAGTCCATGACGTTGACTCCAGCGTTTTGAAGGAAATTTCGTGTCAACATCGGGGTATGCAGCCGAGCATTATCATGCTGGAACTGTAGACCTGGGCCATGAGCCGCCATGAAAGGAACGAGTTCAGGGGTGAGCACATGGTCGCGGTAAGCAGCAGCTGTGAGGTTTCCACGGATGACCAGAAGTCGGGAACGGTTGTTCCCACAGAAAGCACCCCACACCATGTAACTTCCGCCCCCGAATCTGTCGACTTCCTGTACACAACATTGGGCATACCGTTCACGACGTCGTCTCCAGACTCTATGCCTGCCGTCAGCGAATTTGAGGGTAAACCTGGATTCATCGCTAAAGACGACTCGATTCCAGTCTCTCTGGGTCCATCGGAGGTGACGTTGGGCCCACAGCAGATGTTGACGTTGACGTCAATATTGGCCCACGATATGGACGTGGAGAATGGAGATTGGCAGCCCGCAACCGATTTCGAATGGTCTGTGAGGACAGTCGACCTCTAAACATCTCAGTCCTGGTTCGTGTAGCCGGCAGAAATCTGTCACGTAGGTGACGTAGGACGATTTGACGGTCTTCTGCTCGTGACGTCACACGTGGACGATCAGAATGGTGCCAGTTTGTTGTAGACGACCTCGCAAGTCATACACAGTACGACGGCGGCATCCCATTGCTCTTGCGACGTCAATAACTGATCTTCCCGCTTGCAACATGCCAACGGCACGTTCACGTTGCACATTTGACAATCGTAGCATTTCAAGTACAGTGAGAACTGTGGTTTAAAAGTGTTTTTTTCAATTCTTTAACCCAATGCAAACACGTGCATATGAGGAAAACTTCGATGCGAAGATCACGTGATCGACTGCACGTGCAAAACCTGATTTGGTACTAACGTCATTTGCACGACGAATGGATGGGACTGAGTGAGTTTTGCTAACGTTTTTCTAGAGTCGAAAGATAGGGATCCTATTTCGGATACATAGATGTATCATCAGAGAAACATTATTCATTATTTTTCAAATTTACATTTTGTGAAGTTTCTTTTTTGAATCAGTATATATATGTTTTTGCCACATTGTTGCAATGTATCTATGTAATTGTTTATTATGATTGTTTACACTGTATAATATATATATGTTCCATACACAGTGCTTCATATAAATGTATGCACTGGACTTACATATCACACACATTACTAACATGTTGTCTACAGTACGCTGAACATACAAACATATCATATACTAACATGTTGTCTACACTACGCTGAACATACAAACATATCATATACTAACATGTTGTCTACACTACGCTGAACATACTAACATATCATATACTAACATGTTGTCTACACTACGCTGAACATCTTAACATATCATATACTAACATGTGGTCTACACTACGCTGAACATACTAACATATCATATACTAACATATGATCTACACTACGCTGAACATACCAACATATCATATACTAACATGTTGTCTACACTACGGAGAACATACAAACATATCATATACTAACATGTTGTCTACACTACGCTGAACATCTTAACATATCATATACTAACATGTGGTCTACACTGCGCTGAACATACTAACATATCATATACCAACATGTGGTCTACACTACGCTGAACATACTAACATATCAGATACTAACATGTGGTCTACACTACTCTGAACATCTTAACATATCATATACTAACATGTTGTCTACACTACGCTGAACATACAAACATATCATATACTAACATGTTGTCTACACTACGCTGAACATACAAACATATCATATACTAACATGTTGTCTACACTACGCTGAACATCTTAACATATCATATACCAACATGTGGTCTACACTACGCTGAACATACTAACATATCATATACTAACATGGGGCCTACACTACGCTGAACATACTAAAATATCATATACTGATATGAGGTCTACAGTACGCTCAACATACAAACATATCATATACTAACACGTGGTCTACACTATGCTGAACATACTAACATCTCATATACTAACACGTGGTCTACACTACGCTGAACATACTAACATATCATATACTAACATGTGATCTACACTACGCTGAACATACTAACATATCATATACTAACATGTGATATACACGACGTTGAACATACTAACATATCACATACTAACATGTGATCTACACTACGCTGAACATACTAATATATCATATACTAACATATGATCTACACTACACTGAAGATACTAACATAGCATATACTAACATGTGATCTACACTAGGCTGAATGTACTAACATATCATATACTAACATGTGATCTACACTAGGCTGAATGTACTAACATATCATATACTAACATGCCATCTACACTACGCTGAACATACTAACATATCATATACTAACATGTGATCTACACTACGCTTAACATACTAACATATCATATACTAATATGTGCTCTACACTACGCTGAACATACTTACATATCATATACTAATATGTGCTCTACACTACGCTTAACATACTAACAGATCATATACTAAAATGTGGTCACACCTGAGGTAAGGTAGTTTGTTCAGAATTGCCGAAACTGGGTACAGCAGAAACTGGTTACCCGATGACATATGCCATGTGACTATTAACCTTCTAGGGCCTTACAGGCAGCTTGGGTTATCCAGGTTGATAATACTGAGATTGTGATTCAGCGTCCAGTGAGCAACTAGACAGATTGATACTAGGCGCTATATAAAAGAAACATATTAAAAACTGGCGTGATAAGTTCATACTGACTTGCACACAAAAAAATTCCAGTCATCATTACGTATGATAACTGAGATAATATCCAGTATTACCTAAGAAAACAGTCACAATGATGGCTATATAAAATGTCAATTCGAAGACAGATACATACCACACACATGAAGTACTCCAGTCACAGTGTAAAACAGAAACATAGTCAGCAGCTGGTTAACACTGAAAGATCTGAGCTGTTGATGTTCGTGTAGTTTCACTTGACACTATTTCCCTGTTACATGAACCATGTCCTTGCTTGTTGAAACATTAGTGAATACGCCGTTTCGTTGCTATTGGGCAGTTGAATATTGAATACTATGTTGTCATGAATTTACTTGGCACTTCTGGGTCTGTCTTCTCTGTGAATCATGTCCCTGCTTGCTGAAACATTATCATTTGGCAGTCGAACATTGAACACTATGTTGTCATGCGTGCTGTGTCTGTCTGTTCTGTGGTAGCCAAGTGGTTAAAGCATCCGCTCGTCACGCCGAAGACCCGGGTTCGATTCCCTCCATGGGTACAATGTGTGAACACCATTTCTGGTATCCCCCGCCATGAAATTGCTGACATATGGCGAAAAGCAACGTAAAAAGATATTCACTCACTCACTCATTCACTCTCATATGTACTCGTATTTACTCTTTAGCACTGCACATCAAGATGTAAACGTAACTATTGATATCACACCAAGTCTTCTTTCTTTAACGTCGTCCTTTGCAATATTCAAGCTATTCCAGTCAGTAAATGACCAGACAATCCAGTGATCAACATCATCAGCTTCAATGTTCGCAATTTGGATACGATGACATGTGTCAACCGATCCCGTTAGTCGCCTCTTACGACAAGCATGGGTTGCTGAAGATCAATTCTATCCCGGGCCTCAAAAGAAACTAAACGAGCGTTTGTCAGACTCCATTTATCTCACAACGAATACAGTAATCTGTTTCTTACACACCCTAAAATCTTACCACTTTTGGATCAATTGTTGCTTAGTTCGTCTTTTCTCATTGTATCGGCGCATTGATACATAACCCAACGTTATGAATGAATAACGTCACTTGACTTACTACTCACTACACATATTATGTGTAACCCTCCTCACAAAAAGCGTTTTAGTCATATTTGTGCATTTTCGAGGCAATAATCATGATGTAAACAAGATAAGATCAAAGAACTTCTCAAAAACCATGACGTTGTAACTGTAAATCATTCTTTCGCAGGTGAAATTATTTCACAGTGTCACGTCATTATTCTCGTTCTGAACATGTGCTAGGTGACGTTTATTTCATTTGAATTCAGTCATCATTGAAGGATAGTGTTGGATTTTTTTTGCACATGGGGGATCTGCTAAGCAGCCAGGTATGAACCCCATGGAGCAACTTTTAGGAGGGCATGGGCAGATGTTTTTCGTGTGAGAGGTGGCTACACTAGGTACTGACGTGGTCGTCAGTG